GTGTTTTTTTGCCATCTGTATGTCTTCTTTGGAGAAATGTCTGTTTAGTTCTTTGGCCCATTTTTTGATTGGGTCATTTATTTTTCTGGAGTTGAGCTGGAGGAGTTGTTTGTATATTTTTGAGATTAATCCTTTGTCTGTTGCTTCGTTTGCTATTATTTTCTCCCAATCTGAGGGCTATCTTTTCACCTTGCTTATAGTTTCCTTTGTTGTGCAAAAGCTTTTAAGTTTCATTAGGTCCCATTTGTTTATTTTTGCTTTTGTTTCTAAAATTCTGGGAGGTGGGTCATAGAGGATCCCGCTGTGATTTATGTTATTCTTTGGAACTCTGCATTCAAATGAGTGTATCTTTCCTTTCCTCCTTTGCCTTTTGCTTCTTTTCTCAGCTGTTTTTAAGTCCTCTTCAGATGACCACTTTGCCTTTTTGCATTTCTTTTTCTTGGGGATGGTTTTGATCACCGCCTCCTGTACAGTGTTACAAACCTCCATCCAGTAGTTTTTCAGGCACTCGATCAGATCATATCCCTTGAATCTATTTGTCACTTCCACTGTATAATCATAAGGGATTTAATTTAGGTCATACTTGAATAGCCTGGTGGTTTTCCATACTTTCTTCAATTTAAATCTCAATTTGGCAATAAGGATATCATAATCTGAGCCATAGTCAGCTCCTGGTCTTGTTTTTGCTGGCTGTATGGAGCGAAAGTGGCTAAAGCAGACATTTTGGCCTTTTTCCTGATCTTAGAGGAAAACCTTTCAGTCTTTCTCCACTGAGTATCTGTGAACTGTGGGTTTTTCAGTATATGGCTTTACTATGTTAAGGTGGTTTCCTTTTAATCCTAGTTTGTTGAGTATGTTTATCGTGAAGGAGTGTCAGTCCAGGTTCGATGCATGATACAGGGTGCACTGGGATGACCCAGAGGGATGGGATGTGAAGGGAGGTGGGAGGGGGGCTCGGGATGGGGAACACATGTACACCCATGGCAGATTCATGTCAGTGTATGGCAAAACCAATACAATGTTGTAAAGTAAAAAAATTTAAAAAAGAGTGTTGGATTTTGTCAAATACCTTTTCTGCACTAATTGAGATGGTCATGTGGATTTTTTCCTTCCTTCTGTTAATGTGTTACACTGATTTTTATATGTCAAGCTAGTTATTCCTGCATCCCAGGAATAGCTCCCCCTTGATCATGGTGTATAATTCTTTTAATATGCTGCTGAATTCAACTTGCTAGTGTCTTGTTGAGGGGTTTTGCATCAATGTTTGAGAGGTATTGGTCAGTAGTTTTCTTTTTCATAATATCTTTGTGTGACCTTAGTATCAGGGCAGTGTTGGCCTCCACATGTTGTCAGAATTAATTGGAAAGTATTTCCTGCTCTTCAGTTTTTGGGGAAAGTTTAAGGATTGGTTCTTCTTTAAATGTTTGGTAGAAACTCAGTGAAGCCCAGGAGGTGTTTGATTATTGATTATCTCTTTATTAGTTTTAATTCTGTTCACATTTTGTGAGTCAGTCTAGGTAGGTTTTATGTTTCTAGGAATTTATACATCTCTTCTAACTTATCCAGTTTCTTGGTATATAATTGGTCATAGTTTTCTCACAGTGCTTTTTATTTCTTTACCTTTTTTAACTTTTTATTTCTATATGATTGGCAGTAACATCCCCACTTTCATATCTGATGTTACTAATTTGAGTCTTCTTTTTCTTTCTTAGTGTAGCTGAAGATTTGTCGATTTTGTTGATCTTTTCAAAGAACCAACTTTTGGTTTTGCTTTTTTCTTCTGTGATGTTTTTCTATTCCCTGTTCTTAAAATCTCTGGTCTAATCTTTATTATTTCCTCCCTCTGCTGGCTTTGGGTTTAGTTGTAATGTTAGGTTGTTGATCTGAGATATTAATAACAGCATTTGTACCTTTAAACCTACCTTAATCTCTTTATCACTGTGTCTTTATTGTTGGATAGTTTGATTATATTGTGTCTCAGTGTGGTTCTGTTTGAGTTTATCCTATTTGGAGTTCATTGAGTTTCTCAGGTGTTTCTATTCATGTCTTTCATTAAATATGGGAAGATTTTGGCCATTATTTCTTGAAATCTCTCTGCCCCTTTCTCTTTCTTTTTCTTCTGAGATATCCATAATGTGTATGTTGGTCATCTTGATAGTATCTGATAGGTCCCTTAGACTCTGTTCACTTACTTCAATTATTTTTCTTTCTGTTCCTCAGACTCGATCATTTCCATTGTTCTGTTATCAGGACCACTGATTCTTCTGCTTGTTTAAACCTTGAGTTGAATCTCTCTAGAGAATTTTCCATTTCAGTTATTATACTTCCCAGCTCTAGAATTTCTTTTCATTTACTTTTATGTTTTCTGTCTCCTTATTGATATTTGTCCTTTGTCCATACATTGTTTTTCTTGATTTTTTTCCACATCTTCCTTTAGTTCTTTGAGTGTCTTTAGGACAGTTTTTAAAGTCTTTGTCTGGTGATCTGCCCTTTCGTCTTCCTTAAGGAGGGTTTCTGTTAATTTTTTTCCCTTTGACTGGACCGTACTTCCCTGTTTCTTTGTGTGGCTTGTGATTGTTTATAATTGAAAACTGTGCACTTGAATCAAACACATGTGATGATTCTGGAAAGCCAAAATCTCCTCTTCCCCAGGGTTTGCTGTGGCTCTTTTGTTTGATTATTGTGGGCTGTCTCTGTGCTGAAGATCAGTCTGAGGTATAAGTTTAAGGTGTTCTTATGCCTTTTCTGACCCTGTACCTTTCCCTGGGCATCTGTGGTTCCTTTGTAAATTCCCCTGTCTCTGCTTTTAAGTGTCCTAGTCCTTGACTGTCTGGCTCCCAAAAGGGGAAAAAGAAAAAAAATGAAGGGGGAAGAAGAGGAGAATTAAAAATGTGCCGTTCTTGATCCTGTGTAAGCAGCTCCAGACCTACAGGGCGGGGCTGGCACCGCAGCTGTCTAGAAGGGGGACGACTCCTGGGGCTCCCTGCTCTGCCACCACCCCGGAACCCTGCTGTGCTCATTCTCGCCTGCATGCCGCTCTATCACAGTGATAGCGCAGCTGCGGCCGGCGCTAAAAGCTACTGGGTAGCTCCCTTCTCTCGCCTCCATACTGCGTCTTGGGCGCCTAGTGCCCCCAGCACATCTTGGCTCACACCGTGTTCCAGCGCTCAGTGGCCAGTGCATCAGTCAGAGCAGGCCTGCAGTCACCTGGAAGGCTGGTGAGGAAGCAGCCACAACAACGGCAGCAATGACAGCTCCAGCTCAGGTTCACTGAGTGCTTTCTCTGTTGTTGTTATTTAGTCCCTAAGTCGTGTCCAAGTCTCTGCGACCCCATGAACTGCAGCACACCAGGCTTCCCTGTCCTTTACTATCTCCCAGAGTTTGCACAAACTCATGTTCATTGAGTCGGTGATGCTATCCAACCATCTCATCCTCTGTTCCCCACTTCTCCTCCTGCCCTTAATCTTTCCCAGCGTCAGGGTCTAAAGTATTGGAGTGTCAGCTTTAGCATCAGTCCTTCCAACGAATATTCAGGGTTGATTTCCTTTAGGGTTGACTCGTTTGACCTCCTTGCTGTCCAAGGGACTTTCATGAGTCTTCTCCAACACCATAATTTGAAAGCATTACTTTCTTGGTGTTTCCTTATGGTCCAGCTGTCACATCCGCGTATGACTACTGGGAAAACCATAGCTTTGACTATATGGACCTTTGTCAACAAAGTGATGTCTCTGCTTTTTAATACGCTGTCTAGATTTGTCATAGCTTTCCTTCCAAGGAGCAAGAATCTTTTAATTTCATGGCTGCAGTCCTCGTCCACAGTGATTTTGGAGCCCAAGAAAATAGTCTGTCATTGCTTCTACTTTTTCCCTTCTACTTGCCATGAAGTGATGGGACCAGATGCCATGATCTTAGTTTTTTGGATGTTGAGTTGCAAGCCAGCTTTTTCACTCTCTTTTATCCTCATCAAGAAGCTTTTTAGTTTGCTTTCTACCATTAGGGTGGTATCATCTGTATATCTGAGGTTATTGATATTTCTCCTGGCAGTCTTGATTCCTCCTGCCCCCTGGCTTCTGTCCCCATTCCCCTTGTCTTCTCTTTGCCGTTCTGCCTCTCGTGTTCCCGTCTGCCTCTCACCTTCCACAGCTCTGGGGCTTTCCCTTCCTGGAGCACCAATGTCCCCAGTCATAAGTGAGGGATGCTACTTACTGAAAGCTAGGGGTTTCATTCATTCTGCAAATGCTCCCCCCACCTCACCCCCGCACCATGCAGCAGCCCTCTGGTCCCACGCCCTGGTCTGGGCAGCGTTTAGGATCTTGAGATGATCAGACATCTGACAGACTTCCTGTGCCCAGGAGCCGGCTGCATCCTCAAGCAGTTGATGGGTTCACTGGCCCGGGAGTGATGGCCCTGTCCCCCTCGCACCGGGCTCTGGGTTCCGGGTGTAGACCAGGCCCTGGTGCAGCTGCCCCAGCCTGCATCTCCCTTTCTCGACTCTTTCCTTCCCACACCCACTCTGATTCCCCATCAGCCCTGAAGGCAGGGATTATTATTTGTTCTGGTCCCTGCTGTGTCCCCAGGATGGGTGCGGTGCCCAGGGGTAATTGAAAAACAACAGATAAACTCCCCATGAGTAATTAAACAGGGATGCTGCTGCAGAGCGTTCCAGATACACTGCTTTAGGGGTGCAAGGTCCAAAAACCCCTCTTTCAGGAAGCCCTCCCTGAATACCCCTCCCCTCAGGTGCTGGGGACGCCGGTGTCCAGGGACTGGCCAGGGCGTGCCCTTAAGGGGTTGGCTGGGGTGTGTGCAGGATTCATGCGGTCACTGCGCTTGCCAGGGAGGACTTACCTGCCGTCGAGTGGTGAGATCACGCCTCCTGCCAGGGAGGGAGCCACTCAGAGAGGGGCAGGTGGAGCTGGGAGCCTCGTCCTGGGCCCTGGGTCTCCAGCCCTCCCTTGTTCCCCGGAGCTCACGACTGATCCCATCCCTCTCGCCCACAGGGCCAGCTGGCAGCCGGTCAGCGGGGTCGGCGGCCCCAGCGGGCTCCCCTGTCTACCTGGACCTGGCCTACCTGCCCAGCGGAGGCAGTGCCCGCCTGGTGGACGAGGAGTTCTTCCGGCGGGTGCGTGCGCTCTGCTACGTCATCAGCGGCCAGGACCAGCAGAAGGAGGAGGGCATGCGGGCCGTCCTGGACGCGCTCCTGGCTGGCAAGCAGCAGTGGGGCCGGCAGCTCCAGGTGTGTGGAGGGCGGGCGTCGGAGAGCCCCGGGCAGCACGGGCCACTGGGGCAGCTTCGGGCTCCCGGCGCTGGGCAGGGCAGCACTTCCGGTGTCTTCCTGCCGAACCCAGAGTCCTGTGAGGCTGCTGTGACCTTCACCCACATGCGGAGAGGGAGTGGGGCTCAGGGAAGCGGAACCCCTGTCCCCAAGGCCAGGCAGCAGTGAGGGCAAGCGCAGGCCCCGCCCGGCTCTCGGGACTGCTCCTGTCCCCGCCACTCCCTCGCCTGCAGCTCCCCTGGGTGAGGTTGCAGGGTGGGGTTGCTGGATCGCCTCACCCGAGCCCTGGCATTGAGTCTCCCCAGCGCTATGAGGATCAGCCAGGAGGAGTGGATGGGGCGTGTGGTGTCCACGCATGTTGACCGTTGCCCCTTGAAGGCTGGGGTTGTCCCCATGAGAATCCTTGAAATACAGCTTGAAGCACGAGGTGAATTTGGGCAGAAGGAGCCTCCAGGACCTGGCCGCCCACCCAGTGCGAGTGTGCTGACAGCCGGTCGGGCACCCGGGTCACCGAGCGGCTGGGAGGGAGTGCTCCGACCGGAGGCAGGAGCACGCTGTGTTCAGGGAGCTGGCGGAGGTCCGGACAAGTGAAGTGGGACATAGCGGGGGAGTGGGGCGGGTGGGGAGCACAGAGAGGAGTCGCAGAGGACTGGTCTGGTCTCCCGGGCTGTGGAAGGCACCTGGGGTGCCATGGGAAAGAAAAGGGACTTCGGGGCAGGCCGGCCGCCAGCTGCAGACCACCTCGGTGGACAACGGAGGCAGCGCAAACGTGGTCAGAGAAGAGGGGCTTCTGCTGCCTTGGGGCTGGGCCGGGAGGGCAGAGGGTGCGCCCCCTCACCACTGGTCCATCTGTCCCACCCGCAGGTGACCCTGATCCCCACCTTCGATTCGGTGGCGATGCACGAGTGGTACGAGGAGACTCACACCCGGCACCAGGCCCTGGGCATCACGGTGCTGGGCAGCAACAGCACCGTGTCTATGCAGGACGAGGCCTTCCCCGCCTGCAAGGTGGAGTTCTAGCCCCACCCCCCGCACCCCCCAGCATCTGCCACTGTCCTGGGATGTACCTGCGTCAGAAATAAACCAGGTACCGACTCAGCTGTGGCCTCGTTCCTTCTGCCGGCAGGAGACTCAGCAGCGCTCCAGTCATGCTGCCATGGGGTGGTCCCCAGTCTGGGGAGGGACAGCTTCTGCGGAATCCCCAGTAGCCTCCAGGTCAGATGTGCTCTGGCCCCCGTGTCACAGATGGAAAACCCAGGCCCAGGGGAGGCAGTACCTCCCAGGTCAGTGGAGCTGGCTGCTGACATCAGCCCTCCAGCCCAGCAGCTGTGACTGTGGGTCCCCCGCTCTATAGACAGGAAGGCAGCTGCCAAACCCAGCCGCACAATCCAGGTGGTGGCCAAGGTGAGATCTGAGCCCTGACTCTCTGCTCCCAAGCCCTTCCAACAGAAGCCATCCTCTGTTCTGGGGATAATCGACACTCATGGCAGGACAGTCTTGCACTCTACAGCAGGCTCTAACTCATGATTGACCGGGACATGTTTGCAGACACTAATGCCCATGGCCAGCGTTTTTATTTTGGCCTGCCAAAATTTTATTCTGTTGTTTCACTAACACTGTGTGGGCTGTCACACTCAGTAGTTACACCTGACGCACCTGTGGAGCCTTCTCTGCGCCGTGCGTTTCATTCTCACTTCCGTGTCAGAATCGGTCACTCAAGTTTCTTGTTTTTTCCTTGGTCTGACATTCACATCGTCTGAGTCGGAACTGCCTTCTGAAGAACTGCGCCTTTGGAGACACTACTGTGTATTTCACTCGGACAGTCAGAGCAGGTATCTGCATAAAATTCACTGAAAAATTCTCCACTCAGAAAATTTAGCAATACATCATTTTTGAAAAATTTTATGGTAACAAACTTGTGTTTATAAAATACACAAGGTTGGAACTAACGGAGGAAAACGTGAATGATGACAATCGTAAGTTGTATAATGAACCCCTGATCAGTTTTAAGCTCTAACAACTTTGCCTGGTGTTTTTAATTGTATTACTGTCTAAATATTGATATGTCTTTGGTCAATAATGTTCAGGTAACAAAAGATGTATTAATATGTCTCCAGTCAGCAATGTGTTTTTTTTTAGCCATGTGTTTAAAACACAGCCTGAAACCTAAAAGCTACAAAACACCAATCTCCCGATGAACCTCCCTCCCTAAACTCTGTTCTGCACATATAGGAACACCTAGATTTAATTTTCAGTAAGATGCCATCTGCACTGGATTGGATAGCGACCTAAAAAAAATGTGACAAGTGCTAACCCCTCAATACCTACCCTCTTTTTCCTGTAAGGAGACTTCTTAGTCTAGGGTCTGAAGAAGGGTTACTGTTTATACATGAGGCCGTGTCACCCTGACTTTTCATCTTGGACACTTGTTGAGTACAGGTGCTGCCTCCTTGTTCTCATTTCATTTTTTTCCAGGGAGGTTTTCTTATATTTATTTTTAATTAGTTCAAATTTTTTATTTAGATGTTTGTCTTTTTCTCATTCAGACATCATAATTCTTTTTTTTTCCTAAATAGGGACAATAAACTTGTTAAAATTTTCAATCATTAAAAAATGCATAACATAAAATTTGCCACTTTAACTACTAATAAACTCTTGCATTGTAAATTTTTTTTTCCCAAATTTGCCTTTCAGTTTTGTTTAGGAGCAGTTTTGCTGTAAATGTTTTATTTTTATGATTTTCAAACCTCAGTTCTTTAAATGTCCCTCCTTTGTGCTTTTAGAGGTCCTTCCACAGTTGGCACAAATTCTCCCAAGGTTGGGGTTTTTTTTTCTGGTTATTTTTACCCACATAGGGCTTATTTTGGGATGAAGGGAGAGGTAGCGATTGCCCCAACCTGGACAGTACAGTTTTCAATGCAATGTACAGATTTAAAACACTCCTTCCTCCCTGAAAAAGATGCCAAATGTGTTATTGTCTATTTCCAAATCTGTACTAATCCATCGCCAACTTTTCTGGCCATCTCCTTACTTTCTCCAGTATAGATCTGTGTGCCTCAGTAGCTCATCAGGCAGGTTCTTTCTCCTTAATTTTACTTTTTGCCTCCATAAAAGGTTGTTTTTACAGTCTCATTCCTCTTGGAGCTCTAGAATCTCCACAGAGGGGGCCCAAACACATGCTTGAGAAAAGCTGTCTGCTTCTGCTTCTGACCAGATAGTGGGCTAGAGCCCTAATAAAAACAACTAAATTGCTGGGTGAAAATGAGTTAACTGTTGGTTAATGTATCAGTGAGCACCCAGAAAATGAGGAACAGTCAGAGGCCAGAATAATGCAGACAGAAACCCCAGGAGGGAAGAAGGAAGCAGCTTTTCTGTTACATAAGGCAGTCTTCCATCTTCTTTTCATGGACCTTCAAGATGGTGTGTCTGATAAGCAGAGACCTCAAAGCATGAAGTAGACATCAAAATAAGATCTTTCCAAAGATAGAAAGCAAACTTAGGTGGATGACATGGTTTAAAGCAGTCCAGGATGCTGGAGACCCTGGGGGAACTTTCAACTAATCCTAAAGAGTTCTCCCAGTCACATCCCAGGACATGTGAGCCAGCATCAGAATGCACAGCCTGTGAATGCCAGTGGCACAGACCTGGTGTCTTTAATCCTGGTGTCTTTGCTGTGTTTAGTCCTGAAAAGTGAACAAAGCGCAAGAGACAGTGATATTTGCATAAGAGCCAAATAGAACTAAGAGAAATGAAAAAGCAAATAATTGGGTTGGATCAACAGTGAAACTGTAGGTAGCTGAAGAGAAAATAGGTGAACTGGAAGATGGAACTGAATGAGTTTCCTAAACAGGGGAAAGAAAAAAGAGGATTGAGACAGAGGAGAGAGCAGAGGCAAATTCTGAAGGGGATAATAGTGGAGAATTTTCCAGAAATAATGGTGTCAATTCAGTCGTATTCAGAAATCCAGCCAAATCCCAAGCAGGATATATAAAAAGACAAACAAACAAAGCAAACCTAGACAGCGTATTAAAAAGCAGAGACATCACTTTGGTGACAAAGACCCACATAGTCAAAGCTATGGTTTTTCCAGTAGTCCTGTATGGATGTGAGAGTTGGACCATAAAGAAAGCTGAGCACCAAAAAATTGATTTCTAATTGTGGTGCTGGGGAAGACTCTTGAGAGTCCCTTGGACAGCAAGGAGACCCAACCAGTCCATCCTAAAAGAAATCATCCCTGAATATTCATTGGAAGGACTGATGCTGAAGCTGCAGCTCCTATACTTTGGCCACCTGATGTGGAAAAGACTCTGATGCTGGGAAGATTGAGGGCAGGAGGAGAAGGGGACGACAGAGGATGAGCTGGTTGGATGGCACCATCGACTCAGTGGACATGAGTTTGAGCAAACTCAGGGAGATGGTGAAGGACAGGGAGGCCTGGTGTGCTGCAGCCCATGGGGTTGTGAAGAGTCAGACACGACTGAGCGGCTGAACGGCGCCGAAAACCACAGTCAACAAGAAAAGCAAGAATAGTAGGCGGAGAGACAGCTCCTCAGCCCCACAGCATGAAACTCAGGGCCCGGTCGGGTACCGTCTCTAGCAGCCCAGAAGTTCCCATTCAACAGAAGCGTCTTTGGAGAGTGAGAGAAATGAAGACCCTGTTGAGTGAAATCCTGAGGGAATTTTTTTCAGGAAGAAAATGATCCAAGTGGAGGAGCTGACTTGCACAAGGAAACAGCAAAGAAGTTTGAATAACAGCTAAAGTGTCATCCTCGTTAACAAGAATTATGGTATCCAATATGTAGGATGAAAAATTGCGTTTAGGCAACAGTGGCAAATAGGTAAAAACTGAATGGAGTAAGCTTTTAAAATCTTCACATGTTTGAGGGGAGAGTAACATACCACTTAGTTGAGCAGAGTAGCAGTATTAATAGTTAGAGTAAATACTGGGTGAACAGAACTCTTGTATAACTTCCAGATTAGTAGAGGGGAGAAATTAGACTAAAAAAAAAAGAAAATCCCAAATTCTTCCATAAGGAAACAGGTACAAATAGAAAGCACAAGATAATGAAAATACATACATAAAAATTTGCCAGTAAAAAAAATTTTTTAAGTAAAAATTTACTTAATAGTAAATGCAGATGGACAGAAAACTCCAGTTAAAAGATAGATTTTTTTCAGACTGTATTTTTTAGTTCAATTTTTGTGCTACTTGCAAGAAACATCTAAACATGAAGATGCTGAAATTTTGAAAGTAAATGATGGGGGAGGGGGAGAATAAACCTGACAAATACTAAAGAAAAAAATTAAAGCTGATATATCCACACTAATAAAGTTTTATTTTTGGTGTATTACTAGAAATAAGGGGTTTCCCAGGTGGCTCAGTGGGTAAAGAACATGCCTGCCAATGCAAGAGACAAGGGTTCGATCCCTGGGTCAGGAAGATCTCCCCTGGAGGAGAGCGTGGCAGCCCACTCCAGTATTCTTTTCTGGAGAATCCCCATGGACAGAGGAGCCTGGTGGGCTACAGTCTATAGGGTCACAAAGAGTTGGACATGACTAAAGCAACTTAGCACAGACACGCTAGAAATAAGGACTATAAAGTGAAAGCTTTTAACTCATCAAAAAGATGGAACAGTTCCAAATTTGTATGCATCTAATAGCAGGGCCTCAAAATAAAGTTATGAACCACCAGAGGGAGTAAGTTTATCTTTAAAAAAAAAAAATCTAGGGGCTTCTCTGGCAGTCTAGTGGTTAAGACTCTTTAAGACCTTAAGCTTCCACCACAGGGGGTGCAGGTTCAATCCCTGGTTGGGGTACTAACATCCCACATGCCATGCCGCAACGCCAAAAAAAAATTTTTTTTTTAATCGATTAGTAGGTTTTCTAATAGTGATCTGTCCTTACGTTCCTAGAAAGAACTCCACCTGGATTATATTTCCTTTATTATATTTTTATTTCAATAAGTTTTGTATGTGTTGTGGGGAGCGGGGAGGGGTCTGGGCTTTTGCCGTCAACACTTG